ATTATATCAAAGAAACTTTAGATTTATATTTCTTGGAAGGAAAAACGACATGTGCTTCTTGGGAGAAAATATTTTACGTTTGATGGAAGAAAATTAGGGAATGATTCCCGTTTTCATCTTCTTGGTTTAACTAAGTCGTACCTGCAATAATTACGACATATTTACAATAAAATCGTATGTAATTGTGATGAGAAACTATTAACAAAGAAAGTTATTTCATTACAATATAGTTGACGAGCAGAAGCGGTAATAAATTAAATTAAAAAATTAGGTAAAAATAAAAACACAAGATATTTTAAAACACCAATTGAATTAAAATCTCGAGTGGATGTAGCAATTTTTTCTGGTGAAGCACACGAAAAATATTACACGAGTCTTAACAAGGCCTTCGTCTTAATTGAAATTGAGGTAGATAAGTATTAAAGTTCCCGCTTGTTATAGCGCTAAATATAATTAAATTACAGAATGTAATAGCAAGCCAACAAAGGTTAATTCCGACATTAGAATATTATATTTCAAAGTAATTTAACTTGAGATGTAAGAAGTGCCTGCTCTATACAATTAGTTTGATTTGGAATTAATTATGCAAGATGCACGACAGAGGGCTCAGAAATAATACAATAATTTTTTCTTTGAAGTACTTATTGCGACGTAGATATCGAATGGACTACAAAGATAGGATCTATATTAAAAATTAAAAGATAAGTGGATAAGGTAACTAAAATATCCCAGTTACACGACAATATTTGTGATATCTGTAAATAATTAAACAACCTCAAATAATCACTAATTCAGTATCACTAAAGCAATACCTACGTTTTCTACTATTCTATACTGTTATATCAATAAATCCTAATAAAGGTCACAAAATATATCGTCTAAAGTAGTGTTATCGAATTTAAATATCTTCATACAGTTTGACATTGTAGAAATAAATGGAAAAAGTGATATAGAGACATAAAACAAAGGATAACAGAAGGTCGAGTCCTTTATAATAATAAAAAGAAATCACTTCCTTGCTCGGGTTCAGTTTATTTGGGAATTGGAATTATTTTAAAGGTGTGTATAAAAGGTTAGACGTGGAGTATGAGGAATGGTGTTACGAGTAGAAGATGAAAATACCATAGACAAAAAAGGATAGAAATGAAAAGGTACTGGAAAAAGTAAGAAAATGGAAGGCGCTAGGGAAGTCCATAAGAGAGAAGAGATATAGAATGATCGGATACCTTTTAGGATATGAAGGACTTGTTAGGAAAATATTAGAAACAGACACAGGAGTACAGAGGGGCTGAAGAAGCTTCAGAGGATAAGATTATTGCTTTTAAATAGTTACAGATATAACAAACACTAGTGGTGTGTTTCTATCCTCGGACTAATATCACACTCTTGTGAGAATGATTAAAAGAATACGATTTAGTATTTTATTCATAGTAATTACTACCACACATTGTTGTACACTTCTATCCAAAAGTTGGAAAAATTTGCAAATTATATTTACATCAACATACTATTGGTCATTAATAGACAACGATTGACTTAACTGTAACTGGGGATAATAAATGATAAAAATATGAATAAAAAAATAAGATACAAATAATATATTGTAAAATATACCAAAAAAAGAGTATGTGAAAGAGAGACGATTAACATTTAGAAATACGTAACAATTAAAGAAAAATAAGAAAAAAAGTGGGACTTAAACTTAACAGGTGTGAAAGGGAGGATTAGAAATGATGAGAAGATTCACATAAGAAATCGAATTAAAAATTTAAATACTGGCAAACTAGCAAAAATATGATATAATAAACGCCTTGTCAAAGATTCCAACCGATTGATACAAAATATAATTGCTAATAATACGTATAAGTCTAATTTTCAATATGAATAAAAGAATTCACGATCTCGATTTCAATTTTATCGGATCTCATCATCGCTTCGCAAACAGTTTCGACAGAACGCCAAACCAACTCTACCTTTGTCTAAAGACAGCGTTTTATTAAGTACTACAAACGGCGTAGTGAAGACCATCTGTAGTACAATGTTACATTTAGAGGGATTTAATAAGCATCCAATAAAGTCCATTTACGTTGATGGCAGTTTCGACAGAATACTGACAACCATGAGCTTCTTTGTTCGACCGAGCGGCATGGCCTAGACCTAGAGATTTAGACCATTGCTTGGCATTCGGGAGGACGCCGATTCGATTCCGGGTACGTTTGCCTTGGTCCAAGTTTTTCTGTGGTTTCCTTGGATCACTTAGGCAACTGCTGGGGCAGTAATATTCTACAGATAATCTTTCATTCTCTTCTGTCTTCATTTTGTCCGTCTCATCTTTCTCACTCGAACCACCACCCACCCATTCCCACGATTCCTGAAAGGAGGATAAAGAGGGCCTTCCGCCCTACCTTCCGGCGTAGTCCGGAGGGACTGCCCGCATATCAGCATTAGTGAGTGATGGGCATCAAACACCCAAGTGTTTTATTTATTTGTTCGATTTGATTACATGCCTACCACGTATGGTGAGTTACACCGTGGATTCAGATAAGCAAGTAGATATTGTTGAACAAATTCAATTCCACTAAATGTAGCAATGACGTGACTGATTCTTTTATTTCGCCTATACTTTCTTATTACTTTGTGGCAAAATTGCATAAACTAATAAGCAAGACTAGAATAGTTGTTTGTAGCAAAAGAATGAAAAAATAATAGACGAATCATTTACAATTATTGTTATGTACACTGCAATAAAACATCCGGAATGATAGAGACTGAAACTACATGGGATAATAATTGGCTATAAGGATGCATTAAACTTCGTCATGAAAGTATGCCTGCAGTTCCGTACCAGTAACTGCCACTAATGAGCAATATAAATCAGTGTTTCCAGTTTATCAGTTTTCCGAACGGATTTCGACCGTTGGATGTTTGGTTGGTTAGTTCTGGAAATCGTTGTCGCAGGAAACTTTCGGTAATCGCGGAAAATCTAAAGTAGCAAGTGCACTTTTAGAAACGGACTGTTGGAGCGGGCAAGCACCGCCAGAACGGAGACGATTAAAACTTTCCGAAATACACAACTGCAAAGTTCGAAAGAACTTTACCTTCCTCAAAAGTTGATGAGGAATAAGTGAAAAAGAGAGAGGGAGAGATAGCGGTGGAAAAGGAGAGAACCAACGCATTTGCTTCTCCCTGATTGCAGACAAATTGATCTTACTCTTGTTTCTTGACTGCGTACAGGAAAAAGTTTGGATGGGATTTGTAGTAGTTTAAAAGGAATCAACTCGTCCAACTTGGCCATTACGTGAATCGTTAAAGAATCCACTTCAATAAAATGCCTATTTTATTATTTCAGATCTCCTACAAATTTGTCAAAGAATTGTTAATGTAGAAGTGTCTTTTTCATCACTGTATGGATATAAAAAGTTAAATGTGGTAACACAGGCATGTTACACTGAAAACTGATACCTCCTAAAATATTAATGGTGGTGAACCGAAGGCTGGCGGCAATAGAAAGTTTTCTAAAAAGCAAAAGGAAAGAATTTGAAACCCTAATACCTCAACATTTAAATACAATACTATGAAAACCAATTCCTTTTTATCTATCTAAAATAGCACAAATGTTAGACATATAAAAGAAAAGATAAACAAATAATCAAACAAAACATATTCTGAAATAAACCTATTGTTAAACCGAAATGTTATTCTACAAACCTCCACCCTTATAAATATTTTTTAAAAACTGTAAACATATAATTGGCCGATTAACCTTTAATATATATATCCAACATCATCGAAATATCACCAAGCATTTGATATTAATCAACATAGCACGGAATAATTTCAGTTTTGCTGGTGATTTAGCGAAACCACTTATAATGTTCTGGTAAGAATCAATAAGTTAAAAATCGCAATCCACATCTAATAATTTCGACTCTGATCAAGACGTAAATGTGCTTTAGTACGTCATTTTGTTGTATCTACTCCGTAAGGCGCCTTAAGATGAAATACGTACGGAGATTAATCAATAATCAATATAAATTTGAGAAAAGTTCCAAGCGGTCATCTCCTTAACCCTTGCTTATTAATTGACATTTACTCACCATCAGTGGTGACTCATCCCTTCAAAAATAGATGAAACGTTACGGAAAAGAACGAGAAACACTAAATTTACTAAGCGCACAAAAAGTATGCGGGTGCAGTAGATTAGTCGACCTTCTGCGATCACTTCTCTATTCAGAGAATGGTGCGGAACGGTAGGCCTGCAAATTTGCCTGTGACGTCAGCGTTGTCATGGCAACTCGCTTGCGTTGACAGAGGTTTGGCGAACGCAAGTCCAACTCTTCACTTGAGCATTTGTTACGTATATTGAAGCAATTTGAATAATTATCTTAAGTATTAGAAACCGCTGTACGCAAATACATTAATTTTATATACTTTTTTACATGGAATTCCTTCATTTATCGTAAAATAAAAATTAATTAATTAATTAACACTAATTCCTAATTCTACTCAGAAAATAGGTGAGGAGAAGGCTCTTCACATATTTTACATGAATAACCGCCTGCTGCATTTAGTAGTTAATTTTACAATCTAAATGCAAAACTCGTTATAACACTTTATCATTCAATTGTTTGCGAATGCAAATGTTACATGAAGTGTAAAAGATAATATCCCCATATTACTTGTCAACAATAAGCAGTAGTCGACACATACCACAATTAGAAATCGAATGGTGTAAACCATTACAATTTAGTCGGTATTGAAATTTGTCGTAGTTTTTAATTATACCTCGTATGCTTCGCTATAATAACGTTCCTCTACAACTGCTACTACTATTATACCACTACAGCATATATGGTCCGAAAGAACCCGTACGCCGTGAACAGCACCAGTGATTAGCAATTAAGGCCCTTGTTAAACCGTTCAATCGATGTCATTAACGTAAATGTTGAAAATACAATTGCATCAATTGATTTTTCATCATTATTTTTTGTTTTTTGCAGGCAAGTCAAAACGGGATGTCTGCTCACCTCAACGATGGCGTTTAAATATATTGCAAGCCAAAAGCAAAAGAGGTAAAATGAAGCTGAGAATAAACAGGATTTCCATATTCATAGGTAAGCCTTTTGTGTTTTATTTAATTAGAAAAATTTATTAATTTTCAAAATAGATTCAAAGATTTTTCAAATATTATAGCTCCATATTAAAAATAAATAATAATGAACTTGTATCTAGGGTATTACTTATGGGACTTGGTTGACAAAAATTTTAATGCTCTAAAATACTTTATTAACTTCAAAGGCTTCATCATCATCATCATAGGGTCGTCAGTCTTAAGACTAGTTGGACACGTATCTCCACTCTTGGGTGGTCCTGAGCTAATCTTCGTATTTCTCTAAAACTAGAACAGCCCACATCCTTAACTATTTGCGAACAGTAATCTAACCTAGCTCTACCTCTACCCTCCTGACTCCTGTTTCTGCCTCTAATATGATTCTGACTATACCTTCATACCAACCTATCTCGCCTATTTTTTATTGACTTCCATAGAGTCCTCTGTTCTCCTATTCTTTCTAATTCCTCTTTAGTTCTAACCTTTTCTATCCACGTTATCCTCATCATTCGCCTATAACATCACATTACGAAAGCTTCTAACCTTTTCTTTTCCGCTGCGCCCACTGTCCATGTTTTGCACCCGTATAGCGCCGCGCTCCAAACATACACTTTTAACAACCTTTTTCGAATTTCGAAATTAACCGTTCGCGAGCATAGTAGTGACTTCCTTTTATTAAAAGCAATCTAAATCGTTTGGCTAATACTTCATTACTTAATGAACATGGAGCAATTTGGTATTAATTATCAAAACTAACAAATTAGAAACGGTTATTCTCTTCAAAACATATTAGGTAACGAAGAGTCACATTAGCGTTTGACCAATTGTTCATAATTTGTTAGAATACTGGCACCGTTTGATTTTTATTAAAGATACTTACTTCCTTTTAAAATATAATTTATAATCTTCACTAGTTTGTCCCATTCCGTAATAAAAATTCATTAATTTTACACGATGTAGGTAGTTTCCAAACGAAAGCGCGTTCAAAATTAGGTACGCTTATCTAACCTAACAAATTTGACAGCTGTAAATGTCGTTCCAAAAACATTTGTCTCTAAAATCGACTGTCGTCGCCGGAGCGTGCCAGCTTGGAGGATAATAACAACGTCGTAATCTGACAAAAACCGTTACAGAAAAAGAGAATGAGTGTCATAATAAAAACTGTGCTACACAAGCTTACAAACAATCACTTATACCTAACACGAAACGCTGAAATCGCGAGGTGCTAAATTACGACTTTCAAGCATTGCTCAAAAAACTGAAAAGTCGTCTTCAAATGTAACAGAAATAAGTGCCGAGCTTTGGAGGGTGTAAACTAGATGCAATAAACCATCGCACGGTGAGCTCAAAAGCGTCATTAAGGGCAAAAAAATCAAAATAATTTACAATCGGAATCCGATCCTGTGCGTGAATTGAAAACACAGATGTCTACCGAATAGCGTACTGCGATAAAACTCTGCAGCTACATGAATGGAAAATGTGAACATTACCAATAATCGAACCTCTACAATAAACATAAACAATTTAATGCTACACATAATTGTCTAAACTAAATAAATTAAAGGAGCACATTACAGGCAGCAAACCAAATCCTACACTGATGCTAGTAATCGCCAGGTGATTGAGTGCAGCGTTGCGGGCAATTTCTCTCTGCCAGGGCCGGTATTGAATTTACTTGTACTTTCAACTACTTTTTTTCTCTAAAGCGGTGAACATTCGGACATACAAGCATTTACTTAATTTTTATATTTTTTTAGTGTATAAGCTCCTGCAATCTCGACACTTATTTCTGTTACACCCTGTATAAAGGCTGACAGTGAAAGTAATTGTAGAACATGCTGCACACCTTTCATTCAGTTTCATTTTATGACATACATTAATGCATGATTATAACTTATATAAAGTCATTAACATTAAAAAAAGGATTTAAAAAAAGGAATTAAAAAAAGGATAAAAAGGAGTAGGTACGTATTCTGTACAATTTGTGTTGAATGAAACAATTTGAGACATCAGAAGGCATCTCATTACATATGCCGCCGTTTAAGCGGATAGTGTCGACGTGGTTTTGTGTTACGTACTCAGCTGTGGTCTACAGGCTATTAAAACAACCTGTGGTCCGCTGATGAGCATTAATACGTTCGAAATCCCTATCAGCATCTGGTCGTTACAATAGACTTCTAACCGCGCATTACAAGCACGTATTTGTTCGCTGTGTAGATCAAAGTTACTGACAATAAGTACTGATACCTTTAGTCACAAACCAAACAGTTTGTTTATTCAATTAAATTTGTTTTATTTATATTTTATCATCTATGCGTACTTGGTCCTTCATTTTCATTTCACGAAAACTATCAAAATTAGATATAAGGATACAACTAGGTACTAAGGTAATCCTTAGAATTTAATAACGATATAACTCAATATAAATTATCCTACACTACTAAGTAAGAATATTACAGCTTTGAAACAGTCTCACCAACAGAGTCGAAACGTCCGTGTTACCTCTCACACTAATACAAACCTTCTTTGCCTAGTCATATCCAAACTAACCCTGCTTTCACACAGACGGTTTTCTAACGGCAACCGTGCCGTGCCGTGCCGTAATTTCATTTTGCTTTGCGTTCACACTACACACGGTTTTTCACGGTTTAGTTTTGTTTTGATACATGACCAAAATGGACGAAAGAAAAAAACGCATGTTGTTACTAATGATATGGCATAATCGCAGAAAAACACAAAAAACAAGAAGATTTTGGATTCATCCACTACTTGAAAACAGACAATTGATGGATGAATTTGTAACATTATTTCATGAGCTACGAGAGGATAGCTCCAAATTTTTTAATTATTTTCGAATTAGGGATTACTGGAAAGTACAAGTAATAAAAGTTATTGATAGCGATAGAATTGAATACAAAACAATTTGAATACACTGTTCCAAATATTTTCACAGAGAATAATAATAATAGAAAGACAGATACAAAAGAATTCGAGTAGAAATATTTACAAAAGGGTGTAATATAATGTTTAGTCAAATATATGTTTTAAATTAAATATAGCGGTGTTATTATCCGCCACACTATATAATTTCTTCTGTTAACTGCACAATTCAGAGAGAAAAACGATCCTGAAAACAATTTTTGAACACACGGCACGTGTGAATACTTCTATACACTTGCTTGTCTCACTGTTGCCGTGCACGGCCACGGCGCCGTGCCGTTGCAGTCCCCATAAACCGTGCTGTGTGAACACTTGCATATAAACCAATGTATTACTATTATACACGGCACGGTTGCCGTGCACGGCCACGGCAAAAAACCGTCTGTGTGAAAGCAGGGTAAGGATAAGAAATGGATAATTAATGGTAATTCTTACTGTTTTGCATAAACGAAAATTAAAAGTTGTCTACAGCACATTTTAATAGAATATCAATGTTAACTTTTCCATGATTTTCTACAAAAATTCCTACCTCATTTTCCAGAAGATATATTTCTATGATTTTTAGAAACAACGAACAACGAACTTTTTATTATGTTATAGTTGTGATAAAAGTTAATGTTCACAAAATAATGAAACATGAAAAGTTTATTCTCTCATATTTGAAACTTTTGTTGTAAAGTTGTCTTCATAAGATAAACTATGATCTAATATTCATATTAGTTATATTAGAAACGTAATATTGAGTAAAACGTTTGTGACAAATGAACAGATTGACACGTGAGGAACCGTAAGAACTGCATGTAGCGTGATAAAAATTGCATTGCCTCTTTAACTGATTAATAAGTGACCTAAATGGTACGTTGCTACTTTAATCAGAGTTAAATTAAGTCCCAGCGGGACACGAGACCAAAAATTCTACACAGCGCTCTCTCTCCCTAACAATTCTCAGATTATTAAAATGTCGCAAACAGTCCTTTAGACATTGCACTTTTTGTCTTCTGTAGACATTCGGCCTTGACTTCGTTATTTAATTATAAATCTGCCCTAAAGGAGCTTTTCAAATAACGTTAATATAAAATTAAACTTCGTATTTTAATTTCGTAACCAATTTATAATTAAAAAGGAAATTAATTTCAAATTGACAGCTAAGTATAGTGCAAAATAGAATATACAACGTCAGGGAGATTATAAGTCTGTTCGCCGAGAAAATCACAGTGTGGTGTTTTGAACGAACAGTGGCTAGGAATCAAATTCGACAACAACCCTGTGTATTTGTAATTATTACTCGCCTCCTACCTAGCCTAACTGCAATTTTAAGGGGTATGATTAAGTTAGGTCGCCTGCTACCTAACCTAACCTACAACACCAACATACATACCCCCTCACACACACACACACACATATGCACACACACACCCGCGCGCACACACCTTTAATGTAAACAACAATAGCAACTTTATCAATAATGCTATTATTTATTTATAAAGAAATATACGATTACTAAAATTTATGTACGTTTATGGTTACATTTCACCTTGACGATTGAGGTATTTGCTGTACCTGTGGAAAAGGTTTCCAATACCTTCTTCGGGGAGTGTTACCGCCAATGAATTTAAATGCGACTTGGAGATGTCTTAAAGCTCCTTGTTAGTTTGGAAACGGTGTTATTGAAGCCACTTCTTCAATTCAGGGAGAATATGGAAGCCATCAATGGACGCTGCATCGCGTCAGGATTATAACGGAATGGTCTAAAATGTCTCATTGAAAATTTCCCAAATAGCTGTTAGATAACCATTGTGAGTACCTACAGCTGTTATGGATCAGAACATTTCCAGAAGTCAGCATACCTCTTTTGACGTGACAACGTCTTATAATTCGATGGAGCCGGCTGCACGCACGAAAAAACATGACTCATGCGTCGTTACCTAGCTTTGAGGCGTTCCATTTAAGGCTTGAAGTGCAAGCGAGAGCGCGGAACGAGCGACAAAGAGGCACAATCGGCTTCCGCGTTCGGCAGCGTTCGACATCTGTCTCTCTCCTACTTGAGTGAGCGATGCGTCCGCG